CACTCACTCACTCACTCACTCACTCACTCACTCACTCACTCACTCACTCACTCACTCACTCACTCACTCACTCACTCACTCACTCACTCACTGGAAAGAAATCTTTGTCCGGACAGTTTCTACTTCAGAAATACGGTCACTAATAACTGTCGCAGTCTTGCTCTGAAGACATGATAGGCTATACAGTCACACAACCTCATCTCCAAACAGATATGCACGTTTGAGTCCAATGACTGTAAATTGGCAAATCTCATTATTATTTAAAAGGAGAACCCAAAACATAGCTACAGGACAAATTGTTTTTTGATGGAAAAAAAATGGAGACCGAACTGAATAATGTTGAGATTGTGCATAGGGTCATTTTGAGGTTTCACCAAAACACCTTCATCTTTGTCCTCTCCTTTCATAAGATGACCTCAGTTTAAACTATGACATGTAGATATGCATTCTTTCAATGAATAAATAAACTGTATTTGAGAGACATTTTTTTTCCATTTATGCAGCATGGCAAATAAAAAATAAATAAAACACAATGAAAAAATAACCTCCCACATTGGCTACATTATAACACTTCAGTTTGGACAATTTCATGCTGATTGCAAGTCATTAAGTGGAGCTAAAGACCTGTCAGATGTTGCATTAACAGATTGCTTCATGCCTCTTTATACTGACGAACCTTCAGGGATTAAACAACTCATTTGACAGATTGCAGACTGTGCAGATGTCCTGTCATATTATCCCACAGTTTATTTAACAGCTGATTGACACCAAGGAAATTTACCAGCRTTCACTACGACAGAAAAACCCATTAGTACTTTAGTTTTTTTTCTTTGCTTGTTGTTTTCTGCCTGCAGGTGTCAGGAAACATCATAACTTTCTGACTGCATTCGTACAGCTGGAACAGCTAGCAAAAGAAAAAAGGTTTGCTTCCTCTTCTGAGTCAGACATCTCATGCAGCTGTCAGATACTGTTAAAAAAAAGAGAAAAAAGTTTTAACCCAGTGTGAGCTGAGGTTATGGCAGGAATGTTGATAAGGGATGCTGGTCACAGCGAGTGTCTCTGCATGTGGACAGAGTGTAGGAAGAAGCAGTGGGAACAGGGTGATTATGTTCAGAGTGACATCAAATCCTGTTTGTTCTGTKTTGCTCTGATTGGCTGGGACATGAATGAGTTTAGGATCCAGAGGTTAGTCACACATTTACTTTGAGGTTTGAACTCACATTATCCTTTAGTTTATTTTACTCTTATCATTGTGCTCTTTTTTTGTCCATCTGAACTCTGTGGTGCTGGATGCCCAACACCCTCACTGTTCATCATACTTGTCAGGTGTTTTTATAACATCACATTTCACTCTCCAGGTGAAAATATAATCGTTTAAAGGATTTGAAATCAACCTGATTTCCACTGCAACTAAACATCTAATGTAGTAAATTAATAAATTGTAGTGTTGGTGTGTGTTTCCTGACTTCAACCCTTTTTTTCTTCTGAAAAGGAAAGTTTTGTAGATCAGAAATAAMAATGCCAACAAAGTTATCCACTTATRAAAAACAAACAAACAAGCAAACATATCATTTTAACATCCTTTATCAGTTTCTTGAAGATGAAATTTAACAGAAATTAAATCTTTAAAACCAGTTTATATTCAAAAGAGTCAGGTTAGACAGATCCTGAGCTTTAGTTGTTAGAAAATATTTAAATTTCTTATATGTTGATTTAAACCCCTTCTAAGATGCTTACATTAAAGCAACATTAAAAAGGAACAAAATAATAATAAAAAATCCCAACAATAAAATTTACTAAGAAATAGAGACAAAGGCTTTAGAAGAAATTTACATTATCACTTAGAATTATAAAAGGAAACCCCAAATGAGCATAAAGAGACTCAAAGCAACAAAAATTGAAAGGAAATGTTGAAATATGGAGTTTCACTTAAAGTGGAAAGTGTTTACCTAATGTTACACAGAAAATATAAGAATTTCTGGGATTTTAGGAGCAAAATAGTAAAAAAATATGAAAGAAATCAAGGATGAGTTTCCTAAAGTTTTCATGTTAAACTTTACTTTTGATTTAAATAATCGGGAAAATCAAAACATCACTTTAGCTCAAGCTGAACTTTAAAGCTCATTCTTTCAGGAAGAATTTAACCCGTATTTAACAAAAATCTCCCCTAATCTACAAATCGTGCCATAAATACAGATAAGAGTTTATGGTTAACTGGGAAAAAAACACTACCCTACCAAAAGGCAGACATTTAATCACTTTGGTAAAAACGAAAAGCCATGCTGACATTAGTTCAGTTACAGTCAAAACCTCATTTGGGTTATCATGTACGATTTAAAAAAATAGTGCCAAACGCTGTGATTTGAGGAAGGAAGTAGCTGTTTATGCTTCTCAATTRAATATAACAAAAGAAACAATGAAAATACAACAAAAATATTAATTTAAGAGATATTTTTGTAGGATGCAAAATCTAATTTCTGTTTGATTCACAATTTGCACGCATTTATCACAGGAGGTCTGATAAAACAAATGCATAAAACAAAACATTTTGATAGAATAGAATAGAATAGAATAGA